TTAAAAATAAAAAAAATGGAAGTTAAAAAAATTTATTTATTTTTTTTTATTGTTTTATTAATCATTAATAATATATTTGCAGAAGATGTTGTAGGTGTATTGTTAACAACACCAAAAAATCAAAAAAGTTGTTCATTATGTAAAAATGACAATGTTAGAATGTTAGGTTTTAACAAACATACACATATTGATATTGGTCGACATAAGAGAAAATGAGAAAATAAACAAAACAGAAACCAATTAGAAAACAAGAAAAAAGAAAAGTTAAATGTAGTATATATGGTAGACGTGGTTTTAATAAACGTTCTCATTCTAAACATTAAAAAAAAATAAATGTAATTTTATTTTATTTTATTTTATTATTATTATTATTTTTAAAAAAACAATGTATAAATTCATGATTATTTTTTTACAAATAAAACAATATTTCATTCTTTTACATGATTCAACATGTCTTTTATCACACCAAGAACATTTGTTATATAAACAATCTTTAAAAAAATATTCAGTTGAGTAACAAGCGAGACAATATTTTGCTTTAAATTTACAATCTTTATAAAAATGTTTAGTTGAATAACAAGCATCACAATAAGTTTCAATATTTTTAAACAGATCGAAATAGTAATCATGAATTATTTTTTTAGATGGTGGTCCCCAATTATTACTGTAAATTATTATAATTTTTAGAAAAAAAACGTCAAAAAAGTTACCTAATAATGGATAATTCAGCTGTTAGATAAAAAAAAAGAAAAGAAAAATTACCTCATATTAAAAGATAATGATTGTTTTAAAAAAACAAAAAAAAAAAAAAAAATTTATAGTTGTTAAATATGTGATTATATAATCTCAATAGATATAAAAAGAAATATTGTTGGTGGTGGTTTAATATTTATTAAAAAAAAAGAAAAATGAAATTCATTTTTTATATTTTTTTATTGTTTTTAACTTTAAATGTTAATTCAAAAGAAATATGTAAATGTAAATATAATCAAAATCGTTATGAAGATTGTTGTTACAGAGAACCTGATGAAATAAAAGAAAATAAATTTTCAGATTTGGAGTTATATCAAATGATGTTGTTTGGTATAATGTCTTCTATAGCAGATAAATTTCCTGATTTATCAAAAAATAAAATTCCAAAAATACCTGATGATGAGAAATTTGAAGATGCTCCAAAAACACCTATTAAAAAAGAACCAGATGTTGAAAAAATGGAAGTTGAATTTCCAAAATTAAATGTTGTTGAAGAGATGGTAGGTGTTACTATTGGAATGATTCAACCTATAAATTTTGATTCAGCAAGAGAAAGACAACATGAAAATTACAATGAGTGGATAAGAATATTAAAGAGTATGGAAGATGAAATGAATATTAATAACCTTGAAGATAGAAATAATTGGGATCAAGTGATACAATATTTTGATTGGAGTATATTACCAAATAATTATCAACAGATAACACAATTATATCATATGATATTGTATTATAAAAAAATGTTAGAAAGAGTTCCCACGAATCCACAAATAACTTACGAATATACTCAAACTATATTAATAACCAATAATATTAAACCAAATACAGAAGAAGATATAATAGTGAGAAGATTAAATCATGTTAGATGGATGTTTCAACAAATACATGCTGGTTTTGCTGTGACTAAAATAGTTGATGATGCAAAAAATTTATATGATAGATGGAATGTTTACATTTCAGCTAATATAGAAGATGATAATTATTTTCAGTATAGAAGTAAAACAGAAAAATATTTAGCAATAATATTTGCAGAATAGATTAAAATTAATGTAGTGTCGGGAACAGATTTACCATCTAGTATTCCAGATACGATTGCTGGAGCTCGTAGAAAACGAGAAGAAGATAGTGATGATGATTCTGGAAGAAGTAAAGCTAAAGAAAGAATTTCATAAATAATATAAATAGTCTCATTATTCATTTTCTTTTTTTTTTTAATGGAAGCTTCTTTTTTATAGAAGATTACATTTTTATTAGTTAGCATTTTTTTATTTTTATCAAT